ATTATCAATTCTACATTCCAATCTTCTTTTTCTCAAGACAGCCAAGGACGTGGCGTTTTATTCCCATGCAAGCTGTTAACACTCCCTACATCTCCCCCTTTTAGTTTAATTRTGAGAAGGCTTCAAGTACTCTAATGCCATAACAGTCTTCACCTGTAGAATCATTATCTTAGCAAAACTACTACCGATCATTTGTTGAACACAAACACAGATAAAATGCACGGGATACATATCACAATCCATGAGAACYCATCAAAACAACCATGCCACTGATAAAAGGTCCCACAGCATAGGAAACCAAAAAGATGGAGTCCAGTGTCTGTAGGAAGAGAACTGCTTCTTCTGCACTTGGAAAGAGTGGCTACTGTTCCAGAGCTCAAATGGCCAGAGCTCCGGGGACACGCAGTTTAGGCAGGAGGSAGCCCATYAGCTGGCAATGCTGACTCTGACATTACTGAATGTCTTTCAGCAGAAACACAAGAAGCTTGGTAGGCCAAGAAGGTGTTCTCTGGGGCTGATGCCACTCCTGCACTGCACATTAGGATGTCAGTTCTTTGTTGCAGTTGCTTCAACATCCTTCGTGTGATCTCTGGGTTCACTCACGTGCTGATGGCTGGTGTCGTGTCTTTAGCTGGAGTATCAGGGTGTTGGACTGGTCTCTCTGGTACGGTTTTACCAGGTTAGCAGGCACCGCCTTGGACCTGTCAGTGATAGAACACAAGCATACCCTCTCCCCCAGGTTAGTAAATCATCAGGGCCTCACTATTGCACACCCAAYTGTAGAGTCTTACATAAAACTTTTGGAAATTGGTTCTGCGCATGCAAACCTTCAGAGCAGTATCACTCTGCCAGGGATCATAATTGATGATCTGTGTTTGAAAAATGTAGTGTAAATATCACATTATCTAATTTGTCTTGAGGGGTAATGCTCCCCCTTTTTGTTTTAATWACATGCGCTTCTCTTAGTATGAACATCAACACAAAGCAAAACAATACAGGTAACAAAGCAATAAGCTCACCACGTGCTCAGTGTTAGCACCAAGCAAAAACAAATAAGGTAATWCATGCAATCAGTAGTACACCAGTGAAAGGATTGTGATTTAGAAAAATGCATTTATCAACTGCCTAAGCACTTCCCTATTGCCCAGGGTCTGCAATAGCTGGCTAGCCCCATTTCACAGGCAGGACCTG